AATGGCACTTGCTTCTCGGAGAACTTGCAGAAAATATACAATTTCAAGTCTTCGGCTTAAACCGGTCGTGGACCGAACCCACGATCTCCAGAGGCGAGCACACTGCCACATGCATGCAAGACCACCGAGTCCCGGTTTATGGAAATAGTAAAGAAAACGTATCTATACTACTAAAGGAAGAGAATGATTTCAGTGAGCCGCAACTCCTCTGAAACCATACAAAGTCGGAAATATTTGTGATATGACGTATAGATGTAGTGTTTTGCACTTCCTAAATTTGTCTTAGAAACAATCTCTTTTCCACAGAAAACGCCAATTATTGAGAAAATATCCAAATTCGGAGACCTTTATCGATCCGTGTCTTATACGCTTTCGCGCATGCTCAGTCGACGTACTGCCCGCGAAATCCAAGTGAATTTAATATTTTTATTTTCCAACCGAGGTGAATGGGGTCTTTTGATCCCTTTTGGTAATATCAACGGATTTTACGTAGCTCATACGGTTATTGAGTTAAAAGGGTTAAAAACTACTGAAAATCACACTTTGCCAAACTTTTCTTAGGGTATTTAATATTTTTATTTTCCAACCGAGATGAATGGGGTCTTTTACATTATATTCCTCATTTTCATCTCTTTAAAGAAATAGAATTAACCGTGTCCAAATCCTTACTGTGTCCACACTTTTTGTTTCAACACTTGCCCAATTGTACCGCGATTTCGCGGGCATCTTTTAGTAGAGTTCTAAAAGAATTTAAAAATATATCATTTTGGAATGTCCCTACGATAACAAACTTGGGAAGCATCCTCAGAAAAGTATAGGGCATTTATGGAACGCCAAGGAAAAATCCACTTTTCATTTCTTAGGATAGTAAATTTAATAGCCTTACGTTTTTAAAGCATAACATTGGTAACTGCCAGTCTTGCGGTACGTTTAATTTGAATTTGCATAACAATGAGAACCGTATTTTACCCGCTAAAAGCGGGCGTCTGTTCTTTTAACATATAAACCTTATAACTTTTATAAAAATGCTTGATTCTATTAGCACTTTTGTTCTTTGTCATGCATATTAATACAAAATAATGTGTTCTGAATTATTTGTATTTAATCTTGGCAAAGCAAGAAGTCCTAACACTTAAACAGCGAAGGGCATTCATTATCTTGGAAACAATTATTGCTATAGGAAAAGTGGATATAAAATAGAAATTCAACAACTAAAGACATCAAGTTAAACAATAGAAAACAACGTCACAAACTCCTAGTTACATAAAAGAATAGATACTATTAATCATAATTGACAGATCAGACGATGATATCTTGGTTTGTTGGCAACTTGCTAAATCTTAACTTTTACGTCATTGTTTAGCATGATCTATCCCAATTTTATTTGAGTTCCTTTTTTTATTATTATATTCTTCTAGAGGCGAAGAGAGTTTTCAAGACGCAACCTCTTGAAAATTACGTCCGTGAGTTACAGTAACTTTTAGTGTTTAGCAGTATTTTTGTTCTCTTCTGTACTTTTCGACATTGATTGTATTAGTATTGGTTTTGTCTTCCATATTCAAACAATATTTTATAACAGTATATATAAAATGTCCAACCATATATATTTTTAGCCATTTGTAGTGGAATAGCATTGGTTGTAGCAATTATTCATCCCGCAATTACGGATGTTTCAGAAGCAACAAGTAACTTTCCCGCAAATTTTACCAAGACTCAAAAAACAACTATCCAATTTGACAAATTAACTTCAAAACATATCAGTGGTTCGAAGGGACAAGAACTTAATCAAACTGGAATTCCAGTCGATCTGGTAAGTACAGAGTACATGTTCATTCAGACTGTTTTGATCATCGATTTTTAAAATCAGAAATATAAACTAGATCTGGTGAATTCCATCTGTAAACAAGCACTTTTGAGCAGAAATACTACTGTGTCCGTCCCAATTTACACTATTGTTTTCGCGAAACCGAAAAAATAATGGAAAGGTCATGAATTTACGTTCACCTCACTTTATGTTTAATTTTTCGTCGACCCTACTTTTATCGCAGACAGTATACGTATAGTCGCTACATATATAGTCACATTCAAATTAGGCTAAAGTTAATTTATTGACATTTGTTAGAGTTTAAGCACTTTTACATTATAATGTGTATAGTGTATAATTATTTGATTCGTTACTTTCTGTCTTAGATCGATACTCTGACGGGGAAAAAAAAATTCGAAGCCTTGAATTGCTAAGAAATAAAACATATGCATTCATAGTAGCAATAACCTGATACGAATGTATGATTTATATGTATAAATAACCATTATGATTTCTTCCAGGAAGGAAATGAAACAAAAAAAAAAAACGCACGGAATCTTCCTCCGCAAAAACTACTTCTCTGGACTCCTTCATGTCGATAGTGTTTTTCCATTGTTAAAAATTATGTATCTGAAGTAATAACCGACTATCAACGTCATAATCTTCAATTAGTGATTCTATTTTTGTCTAATAAAAGATATATAACGCACAATAGAATTAAACACACGATGAAATCATGAGTGTGAATGTCATTTAATACAATCTGAATGTGTAAGAACTACCATACGCAGTTATAATAAAGTTATTGTCTGCCCATCTGTAACATTTGATCTTTTTTTTTAATCCACACCTTTTATCTTTTTTTTTCGAGGCTAGCATTCAATCATAATATTAAAAAAAAAGTAAGCGGCTTCTAAGAAGCAACAGACAATACCATGGTTAAAATGGACCAGACAAATAACAGAACACCACACGCAACACAACACAGGAAGTTAAAAGACTGAGCAACAAGAAACCCAGTTCCGCTAGTTAGATTTTTGGCCTAATAAAAACTAACTTATCAGAGTCTAGAGCAATAATACAAAGAACACGTGTCAAACGGGGGTACTTTTTATAAAGCTGGACGATCACGAGATGAAAGTCACGACAATCAGATTCTTCAAATTTTTAACTGGTTTTTAATGTTTAGTTTTTAAATTAAATTAACCCCGTCCCAAATTTCTTTAGACTCGCGTTTCAAGGTTTTTCTATTGTTATGTTTATGGCGTAATTTGGTGGTAGAATACATATAAAGTGTCTTTAAATCTCTACCTAACAAGCACAGTCGATGTAAATGTAATTTTCATTCACTATTTCATACTTGTAAGGTTTTTCTAAATTTTTTTTCAGATGCAACTCAATGATCAGAAAGGTAACTTTTTATTGAATGGGTATTCAGTTAATCTGCTAGAAAGTATGAGTTTTCAATGTTTCTAGATATGTGGGTGTATAATATTTAAATTCTTTTTGTAAAATTCTACATCCCGGGTTTATCTTTTGATTAACTAACTCGTTTTACTAAGTATCTTTAAAAATTATGTATTATAAATTTCGTCTTAAAAGTCCAACAATATCACGCATTTTTTTTCCCTTTTCCTTCCTTCCTACAGCGGGATTTGAACCTATGTATAGGTATTTACTATGCTCTCACATTATATGTTTTTTTATATACGTCTAAGTATGTGTCAACACTACGACTGACATTCTCCATCGGATAACCAAGGATTATACAGGGCTAAAACCACACATTACATTTACTGCGTCTCAAAATTTAGTCCAACAATGTTAGATCTGCAAAGGAGTGGGGATAATAAGATAAAGGTACAGTTAATGGGCTATGTCACAGATTTTGGTAAAATTTATCACACTTTTTATGGCTCGTTGAACTATAACTGAAAATCTAGTCTGACCTGGGACATTATATGTAAGTATAATAGTCCCAGGTCTGACTGATAATTTAAACCGTTTGGCAGTGAAGTTCAATTGAATCGATTGTTATAAAATAAAGAGATTTGGTATGATTGTTAATTAAACAACTACTGGTATCCAAGTTCAGAGTTCATGACCTTTTACCGTACGACCTTTATCAATGAACAAAGTCCATGTCGTAAAGTCAGCGATATATATAAGGCGTGACAAAATGTGAAATAATTAAAAAAAAAACAAAAAAAAAACGGTCAGATTTATGATAAAACAATAAACGAAAAACAACAACAGATAGCAACCGACGACAATTATTACAGAAGGTGGCGTGTTAGACATGTCTGTGAGCGATTATCGCTCCACCAACCTTGGACAATGGTGTAACACCGCAACATAAGAACAAACTATCAAAATTAAATGCAAAAACAAAAACAAAAAATGGCTTGACTCATCAGATCGGCGTGAATGGCAAAAATAATTATCTTAAAGGCAAAAGACACGAAGTACCGAACTAAGGGTACTCGAAATTTCTGAAATCCAACCCAAAGCCAATAACAACTATTAAATGATTCATGTTCTCCCAGACTAAGGTATCAATCAGTACATACCAACGGATTTAGTGTAAAGACGTCCGAGAAAAGCTCGATCTTGTGCAATGCCAAAACATAAGCCCACAATATCGACAGGTGGTAAGATCACAAGTTTTCATAAATGTAAATGAGTCAACTGAATTGAATATAAGCAGCTTGACTTGTTTTGATTAATTTAACTTCGGGGTTTGATTGATTCTGTTTGGATTAAATTGAATTCTACTTATCAAATTCGTCAAACTAACCATAACTTCATACCAATTGTCGTCGAGCAAGTTCAAATGACTCAATTGACCTAGAAATTCAATTAACAGTCGACATCCAAATACAACCCTACTTTGATCCTCTTGTCGCCAACATTTTTCTTATTGCGATCGGCGTCTGTTGTAAGCAAGTCTAATAAATATTCGTAAATGTCAAGCATATCGTAAACCATACTTTTAATTGATCTGATACGACTATACTCGTCTATGTTGAACCAAACACGTCTTAGAAAAAAGACCTCCGCATGACGTCCATTGCGCAATGGGTCAATGTGGTTCAGCCTTCCCTGAAAGGTTTTACAGTAATAAGCCATTACTAATCGGTCGATTTTTTATCAGGTTAAGATGTCACTAATGATGTGTTTTCGATATTTCAGTTAAGCTTGTGAATACGACATCTGCTGAAAAAGACAAACCAGTTCTGCATAAAGAAACTATTATCAAGCAATTTAAGATTTCAAGTCAGTATCATCACATGATTAATCCTAGAGCAGTTAAACCAGGTGATATATTTTTAAGAGTAAAATAACGAAATTTTGAAAATAATCAAATCGACACAAAAATAATAAACTGAAATGCGTTTCCCAAATTGTTTTTAGAGAATAACAGAAATACCGGATCAGTCACTTGTTTCTAAGATTTATTTGTTTGATTGTATACGATTTTGTCTACCTTCTTTTACACTGGATTTTATCGTTCCTTATATTTGTGTGGTTTTCGTTTTGTTTGTGTATATTTTTCAAATTATCACGTCTCTTCACAATTTTTGGTTTAACTAGACATCATTGAGATGGGAGCCATCTCTGTGGACTCCGCTGTAAATAAGGTGTGGTAAAAAAATAGTAGGGAGAAGCTGATATAAAGCTTTTGACCTTGACCTTTGATCTAGGAAGTTGTACATACATTATGACACACCCTCTGGTGTTGGTTAATATACACGTCAAGTATAAACTTTGAAATCATAACGGTTCTCAAGATATAGAGCGCACACAATCTTTACCATAGGGCATGGCGTTGTCAACTGAAACCAGTTTTTGACCTTGAACTTTGACCTAGGAAGTTGTACAAACATTATGACACACCATCTGGTGCTGGTTAATATACATGTCAAGTTTAAAGTATGAAATTATAACGCTTCTCTAGATATAAAGCGGACACAATTTGTTACGGACGGACAGACTGATCACTATAGGGCGACCCGCTAGTGGCGGGCCCTAATTAGCAACCTCTTCTCATTTCAACAAATTTACAAAACATAATATGTTTGTATATCCTTTAAGAACTGTTGTCTATGTGATTTCATATCGCATGTAAAGCAGCTGGTGAATTTCACCGAAGAAAAATGTATTTAATCTACAAATACTAAACCGGATTCACAAGCACCCGTCAGGCGCATGGAAATCTGAATCGTGCCCATTTTTCTTGATTATTTTAAATGATACGAACTGCTTGTAACTTTTCAATTCCTAATTTTGTAAATGTTCAAACATGAGATTGTCACATTAAACTTAAGTTCACCTGTCACGATTTTGAATGTTTCTTTTATGTTGTTTGGTTTCACTTGCTTTCAAAGATTTTAAATCTTTTTGTTTCCCAACTTATTTTTTGTAGAATATTTGAAAAAAAAATACTCTAGATAACAGGTTTTGTGTGCAGAGAAATAAAATGATGTAAATTTTAGCAGGTTTGCACGGAAAACTTTTATCAATTAAACATATGTTTTTATCATTTGCACTTAAATAATCCGACAAGCAAATCATCTCCAACTGAGTCAGGTAAGCTAAACATAGCCTCTCATATTTCTCATATTGAATATTTATTGTTTACTGGAATTTATATATATTATGAATTTAGTACTTATTCTATTGCATTGATATTAATGCATAGTTTTTTGTTCAAAGAGACCAATCAGAGGGTTTGCTCAAACTGAATAAATGTTACTAGTAATTGAATAGAAAAATGAAAACAAAACTTTAGAAATGAAGAACGTCCGAAGTGCTTTTATGAATTAACCTTCATATGGAACGCTCAATCCCAAAATTTTAACCAATGATATATAAAAAACACAAGCCTTATAATTTTGTACGCCAGACGAGCATTTCATCTACATAAATACACATCAGTGACGCTCGAATCAAACTGGTTGAAATGTATCGAAGATAAACAGACAATCCAACGATCAATCGGAAATATATGAAAACAAAGTCCACAGTTCACCACACAGAAAACTTAATTCTTGGCAACATGAACGATACAGTGAGCGATGTATTTTAGAATTATTTGTTCAACGAGAAACTCGCAAGTCATGAATACATCCACGATACATACTCTCGGGAAGACTTGGCAACATGTGTATCTTATTCAGATACACTTTACAGATAGATAAAAGTTATTTCTGCAATATAGAGTCAGGACATATAATTATAGGTTGAATGCATTTTGTAAATTATTTACAATTTGCTTGCGATTAAATAACATCAATGACACTAACCATCTTGATATTGAAAGTATATTAAATCTAAAAGTATTTTCTTTTAAATTCATTGTCTATTGAGATGGATATAAAGTACGCGTCAGGCACGTGGAAATCTGCCTTGTGTCTGTGTTTTGCCACTTGCAGTTTCACGGTATGACTGCTGAATGACTATCAGTACAACATCATGCAATCTACCAGGATACATAGTCCAGCCCTGGCCTCAGTGACTTATTTTCATTTTTTATCAAAAACGATTGGGACAATGTCCGAGTGCTCAAATACGAAAAATGTATAACAAATGGTAAAACTAGATGAAATAAACATGTAACATACCATAAATACTTGTATACTGTATGGAAACTAACATTAACAGGAGCAAATCCCTTGCAGTCGGAGTTGTGGAAATCTTATTTACACAAGTAACGCTATATTACGGAACGTGACGTTTCTACGGTAAAACGTAGACTAAAGGAATATTTGTATTGGTAAAGATTTTCAAAGTTCAAACTCGTTAAATCAACGATTTTGCACCTCATCTTTTTTGTATGCGGAATGACTCAATGGCGACAGAAAAAATAAACAATGAAAATAAGTCACTGAGGCCAGGGCTGGACTACCAGGTTACAGTGTTTCAGTACTTGAATTGTTTAAATGATACGTGTTGTTTGTAACTTTTCAGTTCACAATTGTGTAATTGTTACAAAAAGAGGTTGTTCAGTTGACCTGTGACCATTTGTAATGTTTTGTTAAAGTTGTTTTGATTTTTCTTGGTCTCAAAACTTTATATCTGTTTGTGTCCAAACTATTTTTTCTTGCGTATCTAATGAAGGTTATTTTAGAATTCTAGAAAACAGATTTCGTGAACAGAAATTTGAAAGACGTAGATTTCAGCATGAAGTCAAGGACGATTTTTATCTGTAAAATGTATTATTATTATTCACACATAGATAATGTGGCAAGCACAGCATCTCCAACAGAACCCACGACAATAATAAAACCAACGACAATAATAAAACCAACGACAATAATAAAACCAACGACAATAATAAAACCAACAAGTAAAGGAACGAAACACACGACCAAAGTACCAAAACATGTTACGTCAGGTAAGCTAAAACAAGTAGCCTCTCATATTTCTAAGAGTGGATTTCTTATATTGAATTTATAATTTACTGGCATACATATTATGAATTTAGTACTTATTCTATTGCATTGACATTAAGACATTATTTTTCCAAAGAGACCAAACAAAAAGAGTTTGTTCTAACTTCATAACATGTTATTTGAATTAAAAAAAAAATGAAAACATCCCTTTAGATGTAGTTCGTCCGAAGCGCTTTAATGGATATACCTTTGGAGTTTATCAAGGTATGCTGTAAATCATTTCAGTTACAAAGTACAGACTACTGAGCCGATAATACCTATGTGGACTAGCAGTCCATCAGTAGTCATATCGGTATCATTTAGGAGAGAAGAATTCTCATATCGAATTTAACAGTTTACTTTCACATAAATTGTTGATGGTAGTATTTTGTGAAGAAACCAAACAACAAAGAGGTTGTTCCACTGTACATAATGCATATAATGAGTTAATTGAACTTATTTACTCACCGGAATATGCTTTACTAGTATTGTGGTCAAATCGGATTTTATTTTGTCATTTGAAATGAGTAAATAGTACTCATCGGTGGAAATTTTACTAGTTTTCTTTACAAAAAAAAGGTTGGTCTGCAGATATGATTGCATCCATTTTTTTTTATATGGAACACTGTATACGATTGACTGATTCTGATATTCTGTATGCTTCGCTATTTTGAATTTTGGTCGACAAACATCAAAATTTAACATTTTTAATCTCAATATCACTTTAGAACAGTTGAGTATGCTCGAATAGAACGCTTTCATGTCCTTTGACAGTATTATTTAAACTTTGTTAATCCATATTATAGAAATGCGTATTGTTCTGAGCTATCCAATGGTTAACATTTGTTTAGATCGTTGATATACATTTAAGTATGTGTAAAATAAAATGGAAAATATAAGATTTTATCCGTGTTTGATTTTTTTTAATGTTCTGTGTATCGTATTTTGGAATGTCTTCAGTCACGTGTTTATGGAACTAAAATGATCTTATGCCTTATTTAAAGTATAAGATTCAAAAGGGAGGGGGGAACAAACAAAAGAGAATTGTTACTGTTACTGAAAAACAGACAACACAAAGACCAACCAGAAAAATACGAGAATACAAATAACAGTCAACAATTCACCACACAGAAACCTTTAGATTCGGCATCATGCACGATAACGTGAGTGATCAATTTCAGAAAAAAAAATCTACCGAAAAACTCGTTAGTCATGCACATTCATCCTAAATTAGTGAAACGATCAAGTTTAGTCGTAAGATGTTTTGGGGGAAAACAGATCCTGGCTCTTGGACAGAATTGGTTCACGATACAATCTCCAGGGGAGAGTTGGCAAAAGGCACGATACAAGCTCTAGGGAGAGTCAGCAGCAGTTGCTTCACCAGTAACACAGCGATATGTAGTGAATTTCTTCCCAATAAAGATTTCAGCTGATTTTTATCTTTATATTTTTCGTCAGATGAAAATAATTCAAAGACATTTATTACAGAAAATGGACCGGAGAATACTAAGAGTACCACACCAAGTCAAACAGTTGGACCAGATGAAGTATCAGATGCTGAAGCATGGGCAAGTTTAGCTGTTGTGATGGTAGTTTTGATACTGATCGGAGTTGCAATATCCTGGTTAGTTCACAATTTCGAATCAAACATTTTGTATATTAAGGATATCCATGATTGGTTATTCTTCTTTATTTTTATCATTATAGAGTTACACAAGAAATAACAAGTTTTTTTTCAGAAAAAAGGAAAACAATACCATTACCCACTGAACCCAGAATGACATTGAAAATAAATTATACAAAATAGAGATAAAGTTAATCAAAAGCAGTAAATAATTCACTTGAGAAATGGCAGTAAATTGCCCAATAGGAAAGTATGTCTCGAATTAATATAAAAGTAAGGAGATGTGGTGTATGCCAATGCGACAACTTTCCACCCGAGTCCAGATGTAAGCAAATTTTTAACCCTTTTTAAATTTGGCAAATCTACCTTTTTTTTAATTTAACGACCGTATCATAAAATGTCAATTAAGACTTTCAATGTAAAATTTGGTTACTTTGACTTAGGTAATACTTATATTGTCGAAAATCCTTCATTAAAGGGGCATTACCTGTCAAATTCATGTTCACCGATTTGACTCAAATTCTTATATTCGACTTATAACTTACTAAAACGCATATCCAAATTATAAAAAGTCTAAAATAAACATATTCCTGACTTGGTACAGGCATTTCCTTATGTAGAAAATGGTTTAATAAACCTGTTTTTATAGCTAGCATAATCTCTCACGTGTATGACTAACAGTCGCATAGAATTCCATCATATTGACAACAATGTGTAAGCAAAACAAACAGACATAATTGGTAAAAATGTCAAAAATTGGGGTACAGCAGTCAACATTGTGTTATAATCTTAATCTCTATAAAAACAAAGAAAAACAAGTGAAACTGTGAGCTACTGCCCACTGACGATACCCCCGCCCAAATATTTCGGTAAACAGGAAGTTGTTGAGTGATGAATCTGAAAACGCATTACACGGTATAGCTGACCCATATGAACCCTGAAACCAAATTTCAGAAATCCTTGTAATGTAATTCCTGAGATAAATGTGACGAAAATTTTCAACTACTTGGATGTCATGTGTAAAATGATGTGAGTGTTCGATAAACAGGAAGTTGTTGAGTAATGAATCTGAAAATGCATCACACAGTATAGCTGACTCATATAAACCCTGAAACCAAATTTCAGAAATCCTTGTAATGTAGTTCCTAAGAAAAATGCGACGAAAAATATTCATGGGACGGACGGACGGACTGACGGATGGATGGACGGACGGACGGACAGACAGAGTTAAAACAGTATACCCCACTTTTTAGACACTCTATAGACAAAGTACATAAGCAAAAATGAAAGACAACAATACAAAAAATGACAATATCACAATAACAAAATGGCGGAATGTATAAATACCGAGCCACGCCAAAAGGAAACAAACTTTTAAATGATGAAAAAATCCTTAAAAGAAAAAAAACGTATATTATATGTGGAATAAAAGAAAGTTGTAGATAAGTTTAACCTAACTACCAAAGATCTGTCACCAACACTTTATTCTTATTGAATGAATAACGATGATTAATTGAAAGGCATCTGTATGCGAGGTTAATTTCTTAAGGATTGCACATTAAGATGTGGTAAGTTTTGAACTGTTTTGGTCCCTTGTTTTACTTTGGATAGTAAAATATCAATAGGTACAAAGAAGGATGGCCAATTAAATCAATACAGAAAAAAATAAGTTTTAACACACCACTCTCTATGGTAAGGGGAGGGTTGAGCGCACGCATACATTTTTAACTCCGCCTATGGAACGCCAAAACTGTCTTATTAGGCCACACCAATTTGATTTTTAGTTCTTCGGACAAAAGCTCCAAAAAATATGGGGCGAGCGAGCGAAATTTTTTCGATTGTATTTATTTCTTTAAAATGAGTTTTGTTGAGGCGGGTGCTCTACAAGTGGAGCGAGCGGTATAATATTTTTTTTTAAATTGTGCGATTTAGAATTTTATGTACATGTAGAACTGGTTACTTCAAAGAAAAAGGAAGATAAACATGCTCTTATGCATATAATTTGATGTATTTGTGCCTGTAGTACAGTCTGTACCATACCCAACTTTCTGGTTCGCTTTGGTTTAGTATAATTTTGATTATTTTCGTCAAATAAGCTTTGACTGCGTGAATTTTCATTAAAAATTAAATTCATACATGTGTATATATTAAGGAAGCATAGCAGATGCAGTTTAGCAAGAGGAATTATGTTAGTGAGGTAAATTTAAATGAAATGTGTTGAATACAATTAAAATATGTGTATGCATTCCAAAAAATGCCCTAGAAAAAAATAATTATCTTTTGATATAGTAGTTTATTGGCTGCTTGACATCCAGTTGGAACTATTTATCCATAATAGGATCAACATAATGAGTAAGGTGAATAGTTCAACAACATCCTCAGTAAGATAGTTATATTGCTATGCATGTAGATCTCAATGTGTTTAAACATTCCCTTAAAATACCGTTAACCAAATTCACATGCATTATTCTGACCAGAGACATGTGTATATATGTCTCTGTTCTGACTTAGCAAAATACTTTTTCCTTTTGCCCCTGAAACCTGCAATATATTTCAAACTGTAAGTGGTTGCACCAATAACACATCCCTAATTATTATTAGCATGCCAATCCCAATACCACCACTTTGGTCTCGAACGTTGGAACTCTTAAATTTTCCCTTACAAAAGAGTTCTGATTGTATGTCAATATTATGTGGGTTGGTGGTCTAGTGGTTAAGACCGATGGCTACAGTGCTGAAGGTCCCGAGTTCGATTCTCACTCGAGACGTCGAATTTCAGTACATCAGTAGGGTGATTTTCACCCTTCCACACACATCTCTGGTATCCAGACCGGAGTTTAAACTAGATTGGGGCCTCGGTAGGTCAAAGTTGTTCCCAGCTTTTTTTTGACCTGGAGATCAATCTTCTGAAATCTCTTCGGGTTGTCTGTTCCCGCCGAGAAGCCCGGTGGTTCTCTCCGAGTTCTTCGGCTTCCTCCACCATAACAGACTTCCCGGTGTCCTTCACGCTCCCTTGGGCGGTGTTGGGGTGGGGATTGTTCTGGTGGTGGGTTAATATTGTAAAGGACACATCTCCATTAATCCTAAGGGAGTGTACAGGGATCCGCAATCAAGGGGTGCGTCTACAGTTGCGGAATCTCGAAGTACATACATACAATAAGGGGATATGAGGTTTTCATCAAAATAAGATAAATCTGTCATTTTTTAAAAACTCATGTGAATTTAATATTAATTTCATCCAAGACAGATAGCTCTTTTTAAGTCTGTTGCATGTAGTCCGAGATTACTCTGACGTCCACCGGCTGTTTTGCCAGACAAACTGGGGCCATGGGACAACAGCGCCCCATCTTGTCTGGCAAAACAGCCGTTGGACGTCAGAGTAATCTCGGACTATGTCTGTTGGTACAATGATCGGGGATGACAATGGTTCTAACTTCTAACAAGTACTGATGTGATCGTGGTCACCTAACGTAAGATTTTTTTTTATTTTTGTCTCCTAGAATAGGTCTTCATAGGTAAAACGAAATGCGTTTAAAATAACTGTGTTTAATAACTATTTGTCCTCGGCAATGATCCGACACAACTTCATGTTTGCATCCCGATTTTTGACCTTTTATTTACAAATCAGTTTATCACGTGCGTTTGAATCGATCACATATGCACAAGAAAAACGTCTAAAAGAAAAAAAAAATGTCAAGAATAAACTGATTTTGGAGCGGCATGCGGCCCAAAAATTATCGGAAGCGGTAATTATTTTTTTTTATTGAAAAGTCAATTTCTCCAAAACAGGAGCGGGAAAATCCAAAGAACTATTAATCAAATTGGTGTGGCCTTATGCCTATTTTCATTATATGATGTGCATTTACCTTTATATGATGTGCACTTGCCATTATATGATGTGCAAACACCTTTATATGGTGTCCAGTTGACATTATATGATACGCAAATCTCCTTATATGATGTGGAAATATACTTATATGATGTGCAAACATACTTATATGATGTGCAAACATATTTATACGATGTGCGAATATACTTATATGATGTGCAAAGATCATTATGTGATGTGAAAATATACTTATATGATATGCAAATGTACTTATATGATGTGCAAATGTACTTATATGATGTGCAAATGTACTAATATGATGTCCAAAGATCCTTATATGATGTGCAAATATACTTATATGATATGCAAATATCCTTATATGATGTGCAAATATACATAAGACACACCCACGTTCATTTTGATCTATAAAGAGGTTAAACTCCTGACTATCTTACTGTCTGTCGATACATTTATTTTTGGCATTGCACAAGTCATGTCTTCTTTGACTGTCCAAACGTTAAAATACTAAATCCCTGGGATGTGTTTTAGTTGATTTTAGTCTCTGATGCATGATTTTTTATTATTAATTGTTTTGGCTTTTAACTAGCTGTCAGTAACTACGAGTACTCTCAAATCGTACTTTCTTGTTTATTTAACCTGTTTATACTAATTGTAAAGCTTTTTTGTTATTTTATTTTATTCAGGGTTATATCTGGTTTATATACCAGCTTTGATAAGTGTTTGGCATTACTATAAATTTTCACTTCGTACTATGAACATCAAAATTATTTATTTTGTAAAAATATTTCCTTTCACTATGGACATGTACAACAAAATTGTTTTCATTTTCCTGTGTTTAAAATAATTGCAAATGGCTGATATTTTTGTTCGTGCACATTGTTTTTCTTAAATTGTTTGACATTTCATACCGATATAACATGCTACTTTTATTGTTCTTCCCATAGTTTATTTATTTTGTGTTTGCATTGTATCATAGGTCAAATTTGTTTGTTCATTGTGTGTTCATTGGTGTTAATATGTCCTTTGATTGAGTTAAGCTATTTCAGTTGATATTTTATAGTGTGTCTTTCTATGTTGTGATGTTACACTATTGTTTCAGAAAAAGGGTGAAGGTTTGGTACCATTAAAACGTTTAAACCCGCTGCATTTG